TGCCTCATGCTGGAGGGGGATCCCAGGCTGGAACCTCCAGCTCAGCACCTGCTCCTGAGCTTCTCAGGGGGGGGAATCCTGGGCACAGCCTCCAGAGAGGTTGTGGGGCCTGGGGCTGTGGCTGGCTCCTCGCTGACCCCGGGCCTGTGGCTGTCTGCCCTCAGGATGCCATCGATGACAAGCTGGACACCAAGCACTACCCGTACATCTCCACCCGCTCCTCCGCCTCCTTCAGCACCACTGCCGTCAGGTGGGTGCCCCTCCTGCCCTGTCCGTGCCCTCCTGCTCACTGTCAGCATCCATCGCACACAGCCCCAGGGGCTGCAGCCAGCAGCAGCTCTGGGGGCTGCTTGGAGGGCATCGTGCCTCTGTTTCCCCTCAAGCATTTCATGTCTGCATTCCTTTGAGGCACTCCGGGTCTCAGTTTCCCTCCAGACAACCTGTGCCTCTGTATCCCTTTAGGAATCCCTTGTCTCAGTTTCCTTCAGGCACCCTGTGCCTCAGTTTCCCTTCAGGCACCCTTTATGTCCATTTTTCTTTAGGCATTGTGCTCCAGTTTCCCTACAGATATCCTGTGTCTGTGTTTCCCCTTAGCAATCCTGTGCCTTCATTTCCCTTCAGGCATCCCATTCCTCAGTTTCCCTCCAGACATCCTGTGCTTCTGTTCCCCTGTAGGAATCCCATGCCTCAGTTTCCCTTTAGGAACCCCATTCCTCATTTTCCCTTCAGACACCTTGTGCCTCAGTTTCCCTCCATGCATCCCGTGCCTCAGTTTCCCTCGCTGTAACAGCGAGCAGCACTCGTGGCTGGAACACTGACTTGCCCTGCTGTAACAGCAATGTCTGTGTGATTAAACTGAGATGTGGTACCTGTCCTTCACCCTCCTCTTCCTCTCCTCAGTGCCCGCTACGGCCACTGGCACAAGAACAAGGCCCCCGGCGAGTACCGGAGCGGGCCCCGCCTCATCATCTTCATCCTGGGCGGGGTGAGCATGAACGAGATGCGCTGCGCCTACGAGGTGACACAAGCCAGCGGCAAGTGGGAGGTGCTAATAGGTGAGTGGTGGCCCCGGGGCTGGCCCCTCCCGCTGGCTGCTCATCCCACGCTCCATCCCGCAAGTTCCCGGCTCCAGACGCCTGCGGGAGCTGGAACTCTGCGGAAAGGTTTTGTCCGGACATCTCTTGTCGCCCCTGTGTGTCCCCTCCTTCCCCATCTGGGTCATGTCACTCCAAACATCCTCGTTTTTGCTTCCATTTTTTCACATCTCCTGGCTGGTGTTGTCTGAGCAGGGCTGGGTGAGAGGGGAGGAGGTTTGGCAGCCCGGATTGCTCCTCGGTTCTGGGGTCATTACAGGAAGAAAAGTGCAAAATAAAGAGGGGTGCAAACAGGAACCAGGTTTTTCAGGGTCATGCAACAAGACATGGTCAGGGCCAGCTCCCATCTCTGCTCCCAGGGGAGCTGTGGGTCAGGCACAGAGGACACAGTGGGTGCTCTACCAGCAAGGATCTGTTAAGGTCTCTAAAATTCCACTGGGAAGCACAGCTTGGATACACACCTTGTAGGGCACAGGCAGATGTCCTTCACCATCTGATCTGATGCCTGGTGGAGCCCATCCCCAGCATCTCTTCTGCTCCTTGGGAGCAGCATCCCAGTCTCCATCACCTCCTGCTGGCCCAGATGTGTCCCTGTCACAGGACACCCATTCCAGCTCCATCCTGCCTGTCACCATCTCATCCCTCCAGGGTGCATCCCCTGCATGCGCCTCCGAAGCTCCGGGCTCCACCTGCCTCCTTCCTCTTCCTCCCCCAGAGGCAGCTGCTGGTGGTGGTGGGGGAGCCTCGGCACAGCCATCAGCCCCGCTCTGTTCTCCTGCAGGTTCTACTCACATTCTCACTCCCACCAAATTTCTCATGGACCTGAGGCACCCCGACTTCAGGGACTCCACTAGGGTATCATTTGAGGATCAGGCTCCAGCAATGGAGTGAGCCAAAGAAACCAAGTAAAGGCAGCTTACTAATGAAAAAGAAACTCTTCCTCCCGAAGGGTTTTCTTTGATTCTTCTGTTCCTCCTTTTTAAAATTGTTGTTTTGGGGTTTGTTGGGTTCTCTGATTAGAAAATGCTTGCGGTTCCTCCGAGCAGGTGGAAAAGCACCCGGCGTCGCTCCATCACCCCTCAGCCATGTCCCCTGTCCGGCTCCTTCATGCCATGAGCTCCCCCTCACCAGGGCCAGAGGGGTCAGGGTCCTGCCTGCCCCACGGAGGGGTCCCAGGGCCGGGCAGGGGGACAGAGCTCCCAAATTCTGCCCTGGGAGCGGCTGGAGTGGGGCTGGGGGAGAGGGGCAGCAGTGGAGACCCCAGCACTCATCCTGGTCCATCCCCCTGGGCTGGGCACTGCTGGGACCTCCCAGCTCTGGGGTTCCCTGGGGTTGTAGTCTCACTCAGCTCAGGTTTGCTCTTGGATAGGCAGGAGCCTCGTTGGCGTTGCAGACCCCCAAACCCTGCCTTGGGGTTCAGCTCCTGCTGGTTTCACCAGTGAGTGCCATGCCAGCATGCCCTGTGTGCTGGTGTCTGCAGTGCCAAGGTGACTGTGGGGCTGAGCTGGTGTGGGCAGCATGGTGGGATCCCCACTGGCACCGTGCTGGGGGACCCCCGAGCGAGGGGCAGCGGAAGGCGAGAGCCTTTTGTTTTCCTTGTCCCGTCCCACCCCTCCCGGCCACCTTTGTCCCCAGGATGCTCTGTGCAGGTTGAGGACTTGGGAAAGGTCCCTCCACGCTGGCTGTTCCCTGCATCCCCCATCCCTGCACCCAGCAGTGCCTCCTGCATCCCCCGTGGGTCCTGCGGTGACCCCAATGCCACAACCCCCTGCACCGGCACCTCCGGGCCCCTGCCTCATCCCGCCAGCTCCATCCCTCGCCTCCATTCCTCCTGTCGGTCCTTTTCCCGTTCTCCCTGCCCCCACAGCCCACCCCGTCCCCATAGACTGCATTTCCTCGCAAGCATTTCCAGCGGTGCGGGGCTGGCGCCGCCAGGTAAGGGGGACCCGGGACAGCGGGGACGGGCCGGGACACAGCAGGGGGGTCCCAAAGCCGTCACTGATCCATCCCCTTGCACCCCTTCTCCTCTGCTCCCACAGGGTCCACGCACATCCTCACCCCACAGAAACTGCTGGACACGCTGAAGAAACTCAATAAAACAGAGGAAGAGAGCAGCAGTTAAAAGGAAACGCTGTCACCACTCGATGCCAACCCACGTCCCCGCTGGGCGCCCGGCCCCGGGTGCCACCCTGCACCCAGTGGGCCCAGCTTCTCTCTTGTTCTTGTGTTGATCCCCCCTCTCCCCTCCCAGCGCCTCCCCCATCTCATTTTATCCACAGGGAGGGGATAACAGCCAAAAAAAAAAATAATATATATATATATATTAAGAAAATGGATGCATTGTGTTTAAGAGAAAAAGGAAAAAAAAAATCTATATATTTGTAGCTGCAGCTGTGGGAAGCGCCCAGGAGCTCATTGCTGAGTAACCATCTGCCCATTGCTAGTGAATATGGTGGGAAAAATGACAGAAAACCACATTTTTTTGGGGAATGCTCTTCACTGGGGTCTTGTGTGGATGGGAGGACAGATGGACGGACATCCCACACTGCTCCAGCCACTGCTCAGGCTGGCACCACCATCTATCCCATGGCTTTTGGGGCAGTGGGTGCTCCTGCCAGATGTGCGTGCCAACATCTGGGTGGGATTTTGGGATGGGGGTGGTGTGGGAGTGCAGCCAGGACGCTTCACACCGTGGAAATTCCCATGTGAAAAGGGACCAAACCGGTCAGAACTGAGAGCTGGGGCCCGTCTGCTTGCACAGCCCTGCTGCAGCCCTTCCTCCCTCTGGGAATTCCTTCAAAAATATATATATATAAAATTAAAAGCTATTTTATATATATATATATATATATTTGTGCTATCTCTCCATGGATACCTCTCCATCCATCCCCATGGGAGCTCGGTGCCTGTGCCCAGCTCCGCTCGTGTCGTCCCGTGGTGAAGCGTTTCTGAGCGTGCCGTCGCCCTGAGACCCCCCCAAAACCCTCTGGGCCCTCCCCAAAAACCCTCCGGGCCCTCCTCAAAAACCCTCTGGGGCCCCCAAACCCTCCAGGCCCCCCCAAGCCCTCTGGACTCTGTGTATATTAATGACTGTGTCTTGTGACGTTCTTACGAGCTTGGTGTATAGTGATTTCCCCAAACTCTGATTTTAGTTGGGTTTTTATTTGACGCCCCTGGATTGCCCCCTGTCCCTTGCCTTTAGATGCACTGCAATATTTTGGGGTCTATGGTTTTGTTCTGTTCCCCCTGGAGGCTGTGACCCCCCTTTTCCTACCCTAAAATTGCTCTTTCTTGCCTCGTTGGTGGTTAGCCCCCCCCTTTCCCTTCCCTTCCCGTCTGCTCCTTGCCCATAAAGTTAAATATATATTTTTAGGGCAAAGGCTGTATCATTGCACTGATATTTGTTGGTTCCCCTTTGGTCTCCTAGCCCGTTTCTGTTCCTCTTTGGTTTAGCAATGCAAATGCTTCAGGATCTTGTATGTTGGACATTATTATTATTATTATTATTTTTTCTGTTACAGTTATTTATATAAAATAATTTATCAAAAAGGAAAACTTTAAAAAAAATTAATCTAGTCTGTCTTGGAACTTGTTTACCTTGAAATTACTGGAATCTAAATGTTTGAAAGTGTTGAAGCACAAACATGTATCATCTCTGTATATCTGTTCTTCTGTACTAAAGCACTCGAGTGACTAAATAAAAGCGATCTCCATCCCTAGTGCAACTGGGGCTGTGCTCTGCTGCTCCCTCAGGCCCAGGAAAACAGGGAAAAGGCATGGGAAAATATTCCCTCCAACCCCAAGGGAGGTCTCCTGGTGTGGTGATGCTAAACTCCCCGTAGGAGAGGCTTTGGGAAGGAAAATCAGCACACGAGTCATCCAACTGCATTTATTTCCTTCAAAAATAGGTGATTTCTTCGTACAAAATACCAGCCCAGTGGCTCTGCTGGATGTTAAAAAATAGGGGGTAAGGAAAAAACCCCCAACATTTGGTCCTGGCTACTGCATTTGGGATAATTAACCACACTTTCCACATGCTCCCATCACACCCTGCCTGTGCTGGAGGAGTCACAGCTTCCAGCTTGGAGCACGAGCATGAGCAGAGGCAACCAGAGACACATAAAACCTCTTTAAAATCCCCCAAACCTCTTTTAAATCCCCCAAACCCAGCCCTCTCACCCCAAAAAAGGAGGAGGAGACAGCCCCATTCCCAACCCCTCTGGGCCCATGTCAGGATCAGGCTCAGGAGGAGCTTGGAAGGCTCCAAGACCTGAGTCCCTCACTGATGCCCCCTCCTAATGTGGGTATTTGTACAACAAATAAAAGAAAAATAAATACATTTGACACTGGCACTTCAGGTAGGTCCTACAGATAAACACAGGTTGAGGTGCTGGGGGTGGAGCAGGGGGTTTGGCTGGACCCATCCCAGGAAAAGCTGCCCCAACCACATCCTTTTTCCTAAAAAATAGGAATTAACTCCTTCGAAACCCAGCTGGGAAGAATAGGGGCTCCACAGCCCCACACCTGCTTTGGTCCCAGCAGGTGACTTTTCCTCCACCAGCCCAGGTTCCCTGAGGATCTCAGGGGGAAAACCTCAAATCCTTCATTTTATTTTCTGCCTAGATGATGCTGTGGGTGGCCACATCCAGGGATGACCAGAAAAAAACCCCCACAAATGCCCTAGGGGTTGTGCTGGAAATGCAAATCAGAATATTTATATATATGTATCTGTAGAAAGATATATCTATAGAATCAGCTAGAGATCTGGACATACACAGATCTATTTATATCTGTCTCTCTAGATACAGACATAGAACTAAATATAGATATGCCTATATCTAGATATATCCATTTATAGATACACATATATCACCCATTACAGGTCATCAATCATCACTCCAAAGAGTGATTTAGCTGCTTACTAGCTAAAAAATTCACATAAAAAACATTAAAAAAAAAATTTCCCCAGGGAGGATCCCGCTGGGTTCAAGTCCAAAGGCAGAGGGCACAGGGCACAGCCCCCTGAGGAGGCCTGGAGGCTGGGAAAGGGGTGGGATAGGGAACCCCAGGGAATGCCAGGGAATTCTGCCCACACAGGCACAGAGGTAAACACAGCTGCCAAGGGGGCTCGACCCACACGAGGTCAGAGCACCCCTGTAAGTGCTCAGGGTGGCCACCAGCCTGGGGGGACACGGGGCCACCCCGCTGCTCCCAGGGGATGGTGCTGCAGAATGCTGGGGACTGCTGCCTAGCCTTCCCCCCTCCTGCAGCCTGGGGCGTCCTGGAGACAGACAGACAGACAGACGGACAGGCCGTGCAGGGACTGCAGGGAGAGCGGGAGGGAGATGGGAGCCAGGGCAGGAGCCCCTGGAGGCACCTCCGGCCCTGCTGGCCCCAGGTTTGTCATGGAGCACGCAGTGAGGGACACTGAGGGTCCGTCCCCTCTCCTGGCGGCACGGGGGGTCTGGAGGTACCTCTGTCCCTGCTGGCCCCAGGTTTGTCATGGAGCACGCAGTGAGGGACACTGAGGGTCCGTCCCCTCTCCTGGCGGCACGGGGGGTCTGGAGGTACCTCTGTCCCTGCTGGCCCCAGGTTTGTCATGGAGCACGCAGTGAGGGACACTGAGGGTCCGTCCCCTCTCCTGGCGGCACGGGGGTCCGGAGGGGCCGGCGGGGCCCTCAGAAGAGGCAGGAGCCGCGCAGGCCCCGCGGCCGGCCCAGCTCCGCGGCCAGCGCCCGGCTCATGCGGCTGGTGGTCAGCCTGACGCTCTGGGCAGCCTCCACAGCCCGGCCCAGGGACCAGTTCAGCTCCTCCAGCTCATCCAGGTCCAGGCTCAGGCAGCGGTGGTGGCCCCGGGGCCGGGGGGGACGCTCTGCCTGCCGGGGACCCACAGGGATACCGAGAGGGACCCCGGCCAGGGCTGGGGCTGAGGTAGGAACTGCTGGGGAGCAGTAGCTGGGAAGAAGAAGGGACACGGGCTCTGTGGTGGGGTCTGTGCCACCACTCCACCTTATTTCCACCCCTTTTCCCATCTCCTCCATGCCCACCCCACAGCACCACCCCCTAAACACAGCACCCCCCCAGAGGAGCTGGTGGCAGTGTCACCGCACAGCAGATCCCTGAGGTGGGGACAACCCCTCCTCGGCTCCCCCTCCATCCCTGGGGGATGCTGAACCCCCGGGCCCCCTGCCAGCCCCAGGGCATCCTTACAGCATGGAGGGCACGTAAGGCACGAGGGGGACGGGTGCCAGGCAGACGGTGGCAGCGGTGGCAGCAGGGGGGGCTGCCAAGTACCAAATTCCGGGTTGCTCCGGCTTCTCGGCTCCAGTGTGGGGGCCTGGGGGACAGGAGCCACCAGGGCCACGCTCTGCTGCAGAGAGAAAGGTGGTTAGATGTCCCCATGGGGGTTTGGTGTCCCCAGGGGTGCACATCGAGTGGCAGCCCCAGTGCCATCACCCCCTGTGCCACACTGGGTGGGCACAGACCCCAGGCATCGTCAGGGGGCTGAGGTTGTTCCTTGTCCCACCAGCCAGCCCCCATGCAGGGAGGAGCTGTGCCAGGCACTTGTCACCCACCGTGTGTGGCTGTGTCCCTGCTGCCCGTGGGTGCCCGGCAGGTGGGGCAGGACGTTCTCCTGGGGGTGCTGTGCTGGGGCTGCCGGGAGGTGTCACCTCCCCCAAACGCAGCTGTGGAGAGAGGACATCAGGAATGTCCCATCCACTGCCAGCCAGGGATGGTTGGAAAGAGCTGAGTGATTTGGGGGGGATGATGAGATGGGGGGTTCCCTGCAGGGAAAGGGGGGGTCTGCAAAGGTGGGCTCTGCACTGGCATCTGGGACAGGGCTGGGGACAGGTGACACTGCTCCCGGTGACGCCTGGAAGCCCAGGGAATCCCAGCAATCCCAGGGAATCCCGTGATTTTTCTGCCCACACAGACACAGACAAACACAGATGCCAAGGGGGGCTTGACCCGTGCAGGACCCCCTCGAGGTCAGGACATCCCCAGAGCGGCCCAGGTTGGTCCCCCCGGGGGCAGTGGGGTCTGGCCAAGGGACAGTGAGGAGAGCCTCAGGCCATGAGGAATGGCTTTGTCTGTCCTCTCCCTAAGCCTCTCCAGTTAATGAATTAAGGTCATTAGCAGCTATTAGAGGTGGTAGGGAGGGCTGGAAGGGCCTGTGGGCCACTCACCTGATGCCGTCCTGCCCCTGTGACATCGGGGACACACCGAGGTGCCCGGCTCTTCTCGGGGTGCCGGGGTGGCACGTGGTGTCCCCGCCTGGTACCGTGTCCCTGCCAAACCCCAGCGTGAGCATGGCCAGGGTCTCCATGGTGGGGGCGGCCACCTACAGCCCCACCACCGACCGCCACCAGCACCCACCTGCGTACTGTCCCCGGAATGTCACCGCCCCCGGGGACTTCCCAAGGTGCTTCCGCAGGGCGGGGGGTGCCCGGGGCCCGGCGGGCAAGGGCTCTGACTCGGAGGCTGCGGCGGAGGACAGGGAAGGAGGGTGGCATCCGCTGGGACCGAGCTCCAGACCTGCAGGACCCGCCCTGGGCTGAGCACTGCGGGGGCCGTGGGACCACCAGCACCTGGTCCCCACGGTCCTGCAGCCCCACCACATCCTGCTGCGTTTGGGGAGGGCAAGTGGCACGCAGGGGGAGCGTGTCCCCTCTGTCCCCACGCCGGTGGGGTCCCACTTACCGAGGTCCAGCTCCGGCTTGTCCCGTGGCAGAGATGCCGACCTCGCCCTCCGCGTCGGTGTGACCCCGGGGGCCACCCTGCCCCGCACCGGGGGGCTGGGCTCCCTGCACAGGGGACAGAAATACTGTCACCACCTCCACAGGCTGAGGCTGGGGGTGTCCCCACGCTGCCCCCCACACCCCCCAGGTCTCCCCTGCCACCTACCCCGAGGGTGCTGGGTCCTGCGGGGCCGATGGTCCGCTGGCCACCGGCTGCCTCCTGGCCGAGGTGACAAGAGGAGCGGCTTTTCCCTCGGGATGGCTGCGGGAGCGGAGCAGGCTCTCCTCCAGCCTCCGCCGCAGCCGCCACACCTCGTCCTGCAGCGCCCGGATGGCCTGGCTGCCCCAGGACACATGTCCCGCTTAGGGGGGCTGCAGCCAGCAGGGACCCCAGCAGTGCTGCTGGCCCTGGGGGAGCATCAGCGCCCCCCTCCCCATCCCACCACCGGCACCCAGCAGCTGGGACCCTCCCCAAAACCAAGCCTGGGCTGGATTGGGCTGGGGTCCAGTGCCCTGTGGGTGCCTTTGGGGGCGTCCCTGTGTCACCCAGGGGGGTCTGGCCTGGTTTGGGGCGGTGGGACACAGCCACTCACTCGCGCTCCAGACGGGAGCCCAGCAGGTCACAGTGAGCCGGGTCGAGGGATGGCAGGTCGGGGGACAGGAGGGTGGGGGATGGCGTTTCGGGGGAGGGCAGGGGGCTGGTTGGGCTCCTGGCCATGGCTGGGGGGTGGCCACCGGCACTGGCACAGCTCCTGTCCCCCACCTCCGAGTCCGTGTGAGCTGGGGAGGAAGGGGAGCACAGTGAGCTGGGATCAGAGAACAGAGACTGGCACACACCTCCCTCCAGGGAGGGTGACACCAGCACCACATGGAGGTCTGGGAACCTCAAAAACCTGAGCCAGGGCCCCCCAGATCTCTCTCCCTCGCCGAGTCCTGTGTACTCACGGCCATCAGCGTCGGGGTCCGGCCCCACCTCGCTACCGGCGCTCTCGGCCCAGCGAGGGGGGGAGCTGCTCTGAGAGGGGCTGCTGGGGGGCAGCTGGGCTCCCCCTGTGCCCCCCGGGGGGTAGATGCCCATCAGTGCTCTCTCAGAGGGAAGTGGGGTCGTCTGTCTCTTCCGTGGGGTACGGAGGCTGCTGGGGATGGGGACGGAAGGTCCCAGAGAGCCCGGAGCCCTGGGGAAGGGACGGGTCATGCGGGCAGCCCCCAGGGCTCCCCCAGGCCATGGGCACTCTGACATCTCCAACCCTGCTCCCCACACCCTCAGTGCCTCTCCCACCATCCCTGCTCCTCTTCAGCGCCCCAAATCCCGCAGGCAGGGCCGTACCCTGGGCCGGGGGGATGGTGCTCGGGGGTGTGCACGGGGGGTGACACCCTGCTGGCCTCCGAGCCCACGAAGCCACTGTCGGTCTCTGGGGACACGATGCGCTGCTCCTGCAGAGGCACGGGGACAGCAGGGTCGGTGCCCAGCAGCACGGGAGGCTCTGGGGGGGCTCTCAGGTGGGGACCCGCAGTCCTAGAGACTCACCTTGTGGGGCCCGTGCTGGGTGGCACTGCTGCCTGTCCCACCGAGGGACAGGGGCACCCGTGGTGGCCCAGGGACCCCCAGGGGGGGCTTGGCAGAGGCTGGTGGCTCCTCAGGGGCGGCAGGAGAGCGGTGGCCCTGTATGCCCTCCAGGTTTGGGGGTTCTCTGGGGGGAAGCGTCGCAGTTCTTCTCTGTGGGAGGTGCCTGTGGGAAGGGGATGGAGCGGGAATGATGGGGAAGAGCAACCCCAGACATGGGGAAATGCCCTGGTCCAGCTCTGCCATGGGGGCCGTTAACCCCGAGGTAAAACTGGAGACCTGATGTCAAACCTCCTGCTCACCCCCGCCTGGGGGCCCGACCTCCACAGCACTTACAAGGGCAAGGGCTCGAGGTTGGGCCCCTCCTCGAGTGACCGTGTCCTGCAGGGGACCTTGCTGGGGCCACCGTCCCTTGCCGTGGGTGCATCCACCTCCTCCTGGGACCCGCTCCCCGCCAGGCTCAGCCGCTCCAGGCTCAGCGACTCCGGCAAGGACTTGAAGTGCTTGTACCTGGGGAGACACGCGGACAGGAGCAGGTGGCTTTGGGGACATGCTCCGTGCTCGTGTCTCCCCTGCCCCACTGTGAGGGCACTCACTGCTCCAGCAGGTCCCCGAAATCCTCCTCCACTTGGCGCTGCTTGTGCCAGAGGGGCCAGGGCAGCCCCCCTGCCACCCCCTCGCTGTCCCCTGCTGTCCCCCGAGGATCCTCCACCAGCGCAGGGCTCTGTGAGCACACCACAAGGGGGTGAGAGGGATAAGCCCCCATAAATGCAGTGGGGTGGGGAACCTTCGCACCCCAGCTCACCTCGGGGCGTGAGGAGTGAGCGGCTGGCGGTGGGGATGGGGCTGGGGGGCAGCGGGTCTGCGGGGGGGGCTGCGGGAGGGACTGCGGGGGGGGCTGCGGGAAGGGCTGAGGGAGGGGCTGCCGCCTGCCCCCCGGCTCCAGCCGATCCTTCAGCCCCTCCAGGCGCAGCCCCAGGCGGTAAATCTCCCCTTCCACTGCTCTGCAAGACACCAGCCATCAGTACAGGAGGGACAGCTACTCCCCGGGGACTCTCCGGGGGCTCTGGGGAGAGGGTGGCAGGGGCATCGCGCACGTACCGGTCAGGATCAAACCCCGCCGCAGCCTCCGGGAGCTGCTGCCGGCCCCGCAGGTATTCTCGCTCCAGTGCATCCTGCGCGTCCTTCAGCATCCTCATCCTCTGCGGCACAAGAGCGGTGTCCGGGCCTGTCCGCTGCGCCCCGGGCACCCCCCGTGGTCCTGCCGCCCCCCTGGCTGGGGTCCGGGAAGGGACTGACGCACCTGGAGCTGTTCCGAGGGTGTGGGGGTCCCTGCACGCACCCAGCTTTCGAAGGATTCCACCTGGCCGGGGTTGTACGGGCTGAGCCCGGCCCTGCTGTACCCGCCCCGCACCCCACAGACCCCCCCACAGAAAACACCCCAGGGCTGCTCCAGCGCGATCCCGCACTGCAGCCCCCTCCCCTCCCCTCCCCTCCCAGACCTCCTCCGCAGCTGCCCCCCCAGCCTATCCCTATAGCTCCCCCGCAGAACTCCCCCCAAATCCCTCCCTGCAGCCCCCACAATCACTCTCCCCAAAAGCCCTTCTCCATGCAACCCACTCGAAGCCCCCCTCCTCACAGCTCCCTGTTCCTGCACCTCTCCACGCCCCAGCCCCCCAGCAGCCCCCCCGGTCCTTACCTGAGCCTGCAGCCTGCGGCTCTGCCCCGCCAGGGCCCGGGTGAGCCGGGGGCCGGGGCAGCAGCACGGCCCGGGGCAGGTGGGGCAGCCCCCCCCGGGCGGAGGAGGGGACCGAGGTTGGGGTGAACCCCCCTGCTCTGACGGTCCCGGGGCTGCAGCTGCGAGAAAACACGAGGACAAGTGACACTGCAGCAGCGGTGACACCAGCGTGGGGAAGGGGCTGTGGGGGACAATCCCCCCAGAATAGGAGCAGGAGGGCCGTGAGCCAGGCAGGGGACACGGATCAACACACCTGCGAGGTGTGGGGCTGTGGGATGTGGATCAACACACCTGCACCTGGCGAGACTGAGGCTGTGGCCGGGGCTGTGGCCGTGCCGAGAGCCGCTGTCCGTGCCTGCGGGATGCTCAGGGTCATCACTCGGCTCCCGGTGGCCACGGTGCCCATGGCGAGGCTGCGGCTGGGCTGTGGCGGGTCGGAGAACAGGCTCACCTGGGCAGGGAGAGCGGGTTTAGGCAGCCAGCCTGCACCCCGAGCCACCCACCGTGCCCCGGGGCACCCTGAAGCACCTCACGGGCACAGCAGTGGGTGCGGTGAAGGTGGGGACACGCGTGCGGGGGGCGGTTGGCACAGCCCTGCCTCAGTTTCCCCACCCACGCGGTGACAGAGGTGACACGGGGACGCGCTTCCTGCCATCTCAGAGATGTGCCCCGCCATTCCGGGGACAATCCGGCACAGCCACCGCCCTGGCACGGAGGGGACGCTGCCAGGCGAGGGGTGAACGATACTCTCCGGGCTGCTGTGAGCTCTGCGGTGGCCTCAACCCCCCTCCCTGGGCTAAGACCGCTCAAACGCAGCTCCCCGGGAGGAGGAAGAGGAGGGGGGCCAGGGGACAAAGGCACAGCACATAACCTCAGGGAAGGGGAGCAGAGAGGGGAACCCCCCCAGGCATCCCGAGCCCCCACCCACCCTGGCACCCAGGCGCAGCTGGTCGATGGTGTTCTCAGCCTCGGCGTACTTGGTCAGCAGCTTGTGGTAGTCGTCCTGCGGAGAGGGGACACCAGTGGGGGACAGCACGCGGCACGGGGATGCCCGAGGGGTGGGTGCTAAGGGGGGGAGGCAGCCCTGTGTGGGGACAGCACGGAGGGGGAGTCCCATGGATGGGGTGCAGGAACGCCCCCTCTAAAACACCCGACCCCTCTGTGCAGATGTGACCCCCGTATCTCTGCGTGGGGAGAGCCCCCTCTCCTCCCAGGGAGAAAAACATCCTGAGGGTGACAAGCTCTGTGGGGGTGACCGCCATCCCGGGGGGACACCACGAGCACCCTGTCCCCAGGCTGAGCACTGCCCACATCCCCGCTCCTTCCCTCCTCGGCAGCTCCATGCAGGACGGGGAAGGCGCGACAAGCACCACATCCCCATGGGGGTCCAGAGACAGTGACACCCCCATGTCCCCCGCACGCCCTGCTCCCCCCACCCTGGAGACCCTCCCAGCACGGCCCTGTGGCTGAACGGGGGGAGCTGGGCGTTACCTGGAGCTGCTGCACCAGCGCCGTGGCTTGTCTGGGGGACCTGAACTCCTGCGGCAGCCCGGCCGTGCTGGGGGGCTGCGGGGCCGCCCCCTCCCCGCTGCTCAGCAGCACCTCCCGTACGATTTCGGCCGGGGATTTGAAGCCGATGGGGCCGCGGGGGCGGGCGGGCAGCACCCGGCCCCGGGGGGGGCGGTAGCTCTGGTCGAACTTCACCCGCGCCTCCACCTTGGAGAGGTCGGGCAGGGGGTGGTTGAGGCGCCCTCGGCCGTACTGGGTGCCCTCGGTGCCCGTTCCCGAGGGATCCTTCATCCCCTTGGCACCCGTTCGCCTCCGGGGGCTCAGGGACCGCGACTGCCGTGCGGGCTTGGGGGGCACCACCGCGGGCGCTGCTTTCTTGGGCACTCGGGATCTGCCGTGCCCCTGTGGTGCCGCGGGATTCCCGGCGCCCCGGGGCTGCCCGGAGGGTGCCAAGCCAGCAGGTGCCATCGCTGTGCCAGGGACACGCTCGGGGCTGGGGCCATCGGTGGAGAGCTGCACGGGGAGGCTCCCTCTCGGGCTCCACTCCTGCCTGTGCCCCCCGATGGTGTCCCCGGCCGTGCCCCAGCCCCGGTGCTGGCTGGACGGGGTGCCAGGGCCAGGGCTGGTGTCCGAGAGCGCTGAGGTGTCCCCCCAGTCCGTGCTGCAGCCCCGGGGCTGGCACAGAGCCCGGCCGTCCCTCATCGCCTCGGGGCTGTCGCTGGAGCCCGAGCCCCAGCGGCCCCCGGAGGACAGCTCGGGGTAGGGGTCCCCATCGCTTTCTGCCCCCCAGGGCCCCTCGTCCCCCCCGGAGCTGCCCCGCTCCTCGTCCTCCTCCTGCCGCCGATGCCATCGCCCCTCCTCTGCCGGGGACCCCTCCTCCAGGTCCTCACTGTCACCTGCAAAACACCGGCACCGCGGGGCTGTCGCCACGTACACCCAGCCGGTGCCCCCGGCCCCCCCGGCTCCAGCAGCTCCTGGGACATTGGGGACCACCCCTTCTGGGCAGGACTCACCCCCCGGTGGGCTCCTGGCACCCTCCCCCAGGCCGATGACCCCATCCTCGTCCATCCGCCTTTCAAAGTCGTCTTCTTCCTCCTCCTCCTCCTCCTCCTCGCCCTGCAAGCGCGTCAGCTCTGTTTGTGTCCAGCGCAGCCATGGTGCCGGGCTGGCCATGGCCGCGGGCGCGCCGGGCCCTCACTTGTGTCGCTTCATGGCCCGGCGGCCGTGGCGGCGGGCTGGGGACCTCCTTGTCGCGAATGTAGGTCACAGCATCGCCGCCGCGTCCTGGGGGGGGCCGGGGGAGAGGGAGGGATGCTCAGCGGGACATGGTGGGCTCTGTCTGAGGTGTCTCCCCCACGCTGGCAGGGTCTCCCCTGTCCCCCAAATCCCGGGGACAAAAGCAACCGCTGATGACAGGGGGGACACCCTCGGATCAGACCCCCCCCACTCTGCATCCCACCGCAAAGCTGGAGCTGCCACATCTCTGCCAGCCGTGAGGTCCTCGTGGGGAAGGGGCCCCTCAGGGCCACCCCAAAAGGTTTCCCACCCCGGGAACACCCAGCCCATGCTGGCACCCTGTGGATGTCACCCCAGCTGGGCAGCCACACCCTGGGGACCACCGACAGTGCTGGGGAGGCAGGAGCACCCCAAAGACCACTCTGGATGTGGGGTCAGAGCAGAGACCTGACACAAATTCCCCCGATGATCCCAAAGCATGAGCTCCCCCCTCACCCTCACCCGGGGTTTCCACCAGCAGCTGAAGAAACGCCGGAAGCCAAAACCCCAAATGTGGGGTGTGGCAAGAAAGGCCACGGGGTTTTCCAGCTAGGGTCCCCTCTGCTGGATTGGAGCCCCACAAGCACAAATTTTGGCCTGGGGGGCCAAACCACCAGTCCCATGCAGGGGACACTCACCCTGTACCAGCAGCCGTAGGACATCCCCATCACCGTGACCCCGTGGGGACTCCTGAGCCCCCCGAAACCTTCCTGTGCCTGTGGGGCAGCCGAGCTTTTGCAGAAGGAGGAAATGATGTTTCCTGCAAGTTTGCAGGTGGCCACAGACGTTTAAACCCCATCCTGCCCTGCGCAGTGGGGGCTGAACCCTCTTCCTGCAGCATTTTCTATCAAAACCTTTATTTTTTAATCCAGTTCAGAGCAAAATGCTGTAGGAAGAGAGGGGAGGGAGATCCCTGGGACCATCAGCAGTTGGCCCAAAAAACATCAGCACGAGGATGTCCCAGGAGACCTAAAATTAAGCTTTAAACCCCCAAAATTCAGCTATCCTTGGAAATTCCCCCAGATTTCCAAAGGGAGGGTGCAGCTGGCCCCATCCTGGGATGCTGCTCACACTCCCAGCGATGCTGTGGCTGCACCCAGGCACTGTGGCCTGTCTTGGCACATTCACAGGCAGCCAATTAAGCCAGCTCGTTAATGTGTAATTAGTGGCACACAGAGGACAGCTTGACGAGCTAATGAAACCACAGCACGATCCCGGGGGTGGTTGTTCTTAGCCAGAGGGTGCTGCGGTGATTTTGGGGTGCTGCTGACTCAGGAATGGTGGGGATGAGGAGTAAACCTATCCACAGCACCCACATGCTCTGGGAAAAGTCTTCTCATCCCCTCCCAAGCCTCTGTTCTGCAAATTCCTTGGGTGTTTGTGAGGTTGGAGGTTATTTTCCAGCACCACCTGGAATCAAGGGCATCATCCTTGCACCAAACTTGCACCCAGCCCTGCCTGCATCCTTGGGGCATTCCGAGCAGGAGCAAACCCCAAAGCATCCCTTAGGGTCTTGCAAGCTTCCTGAGGGGTTTGCCTAAGGTTTCCCCCTGCTTCACTGAGTGGATAACTCCATTCCCCACACCTGGAGATGCTCCACAGCTTCTCCTGCCACTGGGAAGGACAGGGCTGCCCATGCGATTCTTCAGACCTGAGCTACTGAAACCAAAGAGGGATTTTGGCTTTAGCTCCACCCTGAGCTGGGATGTTTCCAGCCCCAAGTCCTTACACACATCCCAGAGATCCCCACCAAGTGCCTCCCATCCCACCTGGAGCCCTGTGGGATGCCAGAGCCATGAGGAGCCCCAAATACCACGGCCAGGATTCCCCAGGAGAGTGCTGCGTGAAAGGAGCCTGGGTGTAGGAACGTGCTTTCTGTTCACAGAGTGACCAAATTATTCTTTGCCTACTTAAAAAGGCAAAAAGCCCAAAATTTTCTCTCCTTAATTTGGTAAAAAGACACTTCACCAGACCTTGAGAACTTCACCTCAAACCTGGGGCTGCCCAATTAGACAAAGGCCAAAAAGTCCCACCTAAGCAATTCACTAAAAAAAGAAGAGAACAAAGGAAATAATTGCTTTTGTGGAGTGTTTTAACAAAAACAAAAACCTCTTACCCCTAAATCAGGTTTTCTCTATAAGAGCTTTATTATTTTGCCTTTTATTAAAACTGTTTCTGTTTCCAACAATACCTCAAAAACCATTCTACTAATTTTATACCATTAAAAGTAACGAAGGTATCTCAAGTGTAATAAATTCTCTAAGAGCTCATAAGACCTAACTCAAAAAACCCCATCACCTGGGGGGCCTGTTCTCTTGGGAAGAAGGGGGTTAAAACATTCCCAACCCATTTCTGGTGTTTCTTTAACCCCATCCCAGGCAAGGGATGGGGATTTTGCATCTCTTGAAGGAGGCCATGGCTGTCACCCGTTTCTGAGCAGTGGTTCCCCCATGCACAGCCCACAGCAGCTGCACTCTGCAGGAGCCACTTCCAAACCAAGCCACAGTTATTGCTTTCCCAGAAAATCCCTCTGCTGATGGTCATGGTGGCAAGAGCAAAAAAAAAATCTCAGATTCTTTTCTCCCCTCTAAGTGATTTTCTCACTCTTATGGGAGCACAGAAAAGCTTGAAAAATGATGTGGCTTCGTGCTCAGCAGCCACAAATCAAACAGAAACAATCCCAAATGTGTGTGCAGAAATATATCCATATATTTTAATTTTCCTCTTGGAAAGCCAGGATTTTTGCAACACGCAACTGGGAAAAAAGCTAAAAATAAATTTAAAAACCTCAGCTAGAAAACCCTGAACTCTGCTCTGCCCCAGCCCCTCAACCTCTCTCCTGCCCTACAAATCCCAGCCAGGGCTGTCCCAAATTGTGGCTCAGGGCAGAGGGGTTCAGCTGAGGGAGGGATGCTGCCAGCAGTGCTGGGTGCTGCCAGGGGTCTGTCTGTCCCTCCAAGCCCCCGATCCTTTCTGCAGGCAGCGATCCCATCCCTGTCCCGATTGCATCCCTGCTCTGATCCCATCCCTGCTCTGATCCCATCCCTGCCCCGATCCCATCCCTGTCCCGATCCCATCCCTGCCCCGATCCCATCCCTGCCCCGATCCCATCCCTGTCCCGATCCCATCCCTGCTCTGATCCCATCCCTGTCCCGATCCCATCCCTGTCCCGATCCCATCCCTGCTCTGATCCCATCCCTGTCCTGATCCCATCCCTGCTCCGATCCTATCCCTGTTCTGATCCCATCCCTGTCCCGATCCCATCCCTGCCCCGATCCCATCCCTGCTCCACTCCCTGCCCGCGGCAAAGACCGAGGTGTGAGGCTGAGCCCGCCCAGCTCATCCCGTGTGGGCAGGGGAGCAGCAGCCATCAAGGCCAGCACGAAGCCATCGTGGCTCCTGGGTTTATCAGTGGTGACAGCAGAGGAGACAGGAGCATCCTCCGCCCCAGGGCTCGCTCGGTGACACAGGAGGGGGGGACAGGGCTGCTGTCACTCTGCCTTCACTGCCTTGTCAACCCCGGGCAGAGCAGGGGGGATGGGGGGGCTCTACACCCCACACCTCCATCCCCACATTCTCTGAGTGATGTGGAATTACCTTCCTGCCCTGTGTCCTAAAATCCCTTGCCTGGGATGGGTTAAAGCCCCTCCTGCACATCTGTGCACATCTGGGATGCAGGGGGGGCTTAACCCCGTCCCAGGCAAGGGATGGATGTTTTGCATCTCTTTTAGAGAGGTTTGAAGGAGGCCAGAACGGCCTCGGGCTGAAACTTGGCAAGGGATGTCTGCGCTCCAGGAGGGAGAAATTCCTGGTGTATAAGCCCTTTTTTTAAAGCCCACAGAGCCCCGTTTTTATAGGCATGAAAGAGGGCAGAGAAGCGGAAACGCTGCGTTCTTAGTTTGCATTATTTCCTACTAGAACAAGGGAGGGACCATCACAGCGAGGAAGAGTCTGACGAATCTCCCTCATCCCCTGAAAGCACACGCCTGTCACCATCACAGCAAAGCCCACGTGTCACCCCAATTCCGGCAGCTGGAGGGGCCATGTCCCCCTCCAGCCCCCCATACCTGCACATCCCCACGGAGAGGCATCAAACACCATGGAAATGTCATTTTCCCAGCACTTGCACCGAAGCAAAGCCCCAGGACGTGACAGAGAACTCCTCTTTCCTCCCTCCTCCCTGGCACTTCCTGTCCTCGCTGGGGACACCCCGGTGCACCCCCGGGCCGAACCCCCGCAGGGCCGGGGGCGGATGGCCGCCATGCCCTGAAGGACAGACAGACAGCCTTAATCCTCGTCTGGAGGGCGCTGCCGCTGTCGGTGCCACGGAGATCCCTTCTTAGCACAGGGCAGAGAGGCGGCGGGGACACGGCCGGGGGATTGTGCTGGGGTGAACCAGCCACAGCTTCCCCGTGCCACGGCCTCAACCCCCACAGCAAAGAACTGCTCCCCTATATCCCATCCAACCCTTCTCTTTGTCAGTTTGAAGCCATTCCCTGCGTCCTATCCCTCCATCCCTTGTCCGAAGTTCCTCTCCAGCTCTCCTGGAGCTCCTTCAGGCACTGAGAGCGGCTCTGAGCTCTCCCTGGAGCCTTTTCATCCCCATCTTTCCCAGCCCGTACGGGCAGTGCCTGCCCTGCCGCGCTCCCCGCCTGCCCTTGAACTTTAAGAAGCGATTTAAGCCCTGCCCGGAAGGTACCGAGAGGCTGCGGCTGAGCACGGGACACCCGCGGGCACCAGCGGCTGCCATGAACACGGCTGCCCTTTAAATAAAACACGGAACTGAAGCTGAACGCTGCCCCGGCGACTTCCTCGGAGGAGCCGCCGGCAGCTCCCGGCCCCGCAGCCCCCGCCGAGCCCCGGCCGTGCCTCCGAGCCGCCTCCGCAGCCCCTGACGAAACCCTCGCGGAATCCTCCGGCCCCGGCGGGGAGGAGGCACCGCCAGAAGAAAAGTTCTGACAAGTTTCCTCGGGGCCACGAAGGCTGCGCTGGCGCGGGGAGGACACGCCTCGGCCGGGAGCGGCGTGTCCCGCATCCCCCGCCGTGTCCCGCATCCCCCCGCCGTGTCCCATGTCCTCGGCCGCAGGGACCCCGCCGGGGCTGGGGGTGCCCCCGCTCCGCCCAGGGACTCCAGCAGCTCCCGCCTGCGAGCCAGCCCTGCCCGAGCCGGGCTTAGCTGAGCCGGGCTCAGCAGAGCCGGCAGCTCTGGATGCGGCCCCGGGATGGGGCCCGCGGGCTGCGCCTCCAGCTGTGGCTCCGCCGGCGCCCTGGGGGTCCTCTCCTTCCTTCCAGCTGCGGCAGGCGGCTGCAGGGAGCAGCCCAGCCATTCCCGGCCCCCTCGGGCACAGCTGGGGCACATCTGGCCCGAGGGCACCGCTGGAGCGGCGCCCTCACCCCGCGAGCGCCGCGCTGCCCACCTGTAGGGAGGGCCCGGCCGGCACCGCCTCGGCCGGCGCTGGGCGGCTCCGGTCCCGATCCCGATCCCCGTTCTGCTCCCAGTCCTGGTCCCGGTCCCGGTCCCGGTCCCGATCCACCCCGGCCCGGCCCCGCCGGACAAAAGCGCGGCCCGCGGCGCCAGGGGGCGTGGCCTCCCCTTATTAGCATACCCACTGCACTCCGCCAATCCGCGCGCGGAGCAGGAGGTCGTCAGCATAAACCCTGCCCATCTTTTATTTGCATACCCCGCGGCTGACGGCCAATCAGAGCCGCGGCTGAGGGACTCTCATTGGCATAATTTATGCAGCGCGGGCACCCCCTGGCGGGGCGCTGCCCATTCCCGGGATGGGGATGGGGATGGGGATGGGGATGGGGAAGGGAAGGGAAGGGAAGGGAAGGGAAGGGAAGGGAAGGGAAAGGAAGGGAAGGGAAGGGATCCATGGGATGGATGATCCCAAAGATCCTTGGCAGGGATTCAGATGAGAATGGGGAAGGAATGGGGTAGGAATGAGGAGTGATTGAGATGGGAAAGAATGAGGTGGGATAGAATGAAATGGGGATAGGACTGGGCATGGGATAGGATGGGAATAAGGACTGGATGGGTCAGGGATGGGATGGGATGGGATGGGATGGGATGGGATGGGATGGGATGGGATGGGATGGGATGGGATGGGCACAGGGCATCTCCTCACCATGACCACCACTGCACTCCCACCCACCCTGCCAGCCCTGGGAAGCTCCCAGGATATTAAGGAAAATATCCTGGCACCCCTGCCCCTTCCTACCCCCTCATCCCAGCCCCAAAGCACCCCCCAAGCGCAGCCTTTTTTCTACCCTGATAGATTTATTGAAAAATTAAAAGCACAAGCTCTGTATATATAAATACAACGACATTGCCAGCGATTTACAAGGCCTCCGGTTGCTCTCTCTGCATCCCCACCCGTGGCTGGCACCACCCACCTGGGCACCTTGGGGACCACCCAAAGGAGCAGCAACCCCCTGAAACTCCCTCCAGCCTGAGCCACGGGCCCACCTTGTTCTGTGTGTGGCACTCAAATGACAGCGGGGACACCCAGACCGTGCCATCCTCCTGCCCCGCTCACAGCCTGACCGAGGGGGAGAGGACATTCCCTACCCCAGAATGGACAGGGATGGAAACTTGAAGGGATGTGCCCGTTCTCAGCCTGCCCTACCCAGGCAGCGAGCCTGCAGCGGGCGCGGGGACATTTGGGGACAAGCTGGGGGTGTGTGCGCGTGCGGGGCCGTGCGCGCTGGGACGCTGCTGTCCCACCTCGGCGCCATCCTCCATCCCCATCCCAGCGCTGCCCATCAAAGCAGCGCTGCCCAAACCCCTCCCCTAAAGGGCGACGTTGAACTCTGTGACCAAGAAATCGATGTAGTCCTTTTCCTTCAGCTTAAAGGCCTCGGCGATGATGCGGGCGGCCTCCCGGTGCTCCTTTCCTCGCAGTCCTGTGCCGTTCACCTCCAAAATGACGTGTCCCACCTTCAGCTTCCCGCAGTTGTGTGCCGAGCCCCCCCGCTGCAGGAGAGAGAGGGGTCAGCTCATGTTCCCACCACTCCCTGCATCAAGCGGGGGGGGAAAAAACTGGGAGATATTTCATATCCGACGTGATGGATGTGAAATATTTCACTTTTTGGAGAGAGGGGATGAATTTGGCTTCTCCCCTGCTTGCTCCTGGAGCGTGATGCCAGCTGGGATGGCCAAGAATAACCAAGGCAGAGTCGGCTCTGCTTTTTTTTGCTGTAACTAACTTGAATTTTGCCCCAAGTAAACAGCAAATAGGGAGACAGCTCCAGAGGGCTCAATCCCCTGGCTCCCATCCACCATTCCCCCTCCTCAATCCCCCATCTGGCAGTCTCCAGACATCTGGAGACAGCAGCCAAGCTTTCACAGCTGCCCTGATCCCCTCGGAGATGTCTGGAGCACACAGCTGGCTCCCAGGAGGTGTGTTCTGGGATGGGATCATCCACGGGACACAGACGCCATGCTCAGCATGGCAGAATGGTGCCTGCGGAGGTGCAGGGCTGTAGGGGGGACAACCCCCAAAATCCCCCTGGCCACAGCTCCAAGGCTTTGCCCAGCCTGCCCAGGGAGGAGAGGGATGGGATGGGATGGGCTGGGATGTGCACGGAGCTGTCCCATCCCAGCTGCCCTACCTGGATGGTGACGATGCGGGGCAGCGGCTGCCGCGTGTTGGCACCGCCCTCGATGGCGATGCCCAAGGTGGGAGCGCTCTTGGACACCCGGATCAGACACGACGTGGGCTCCAGGAGCCCGGGCTGTGGGGACAGATGGCAGCACAGCTGAGGGGGCCTGGGCACCGTGTGCCAGCCATGCTCCCTCTGCCAGGGCCCCACAGCAGCCAGGGACATGCTGGCTGCCACCACGGAGGGACAGACAGAGCCCTGCAGCTGCTTTCTGACTCCTGATCTAAAATCCCAACTCTGGGTAGAGTTGGAAGGGAAACTCTGGGAAGGAGCAGAGCAGCTCTCTGCCTGCCTGCCTGTGTCCTTCACCCTCACCACCACCAGAAACCCTCTGAGTTATGTCTGATACCCACTGCCACCTTCCCTTTGGGTGACAGGTGACTTCACTCATGCGACTTGTGGATGTCCCTTTAGAGCCAGGAATTCCCTCACGACCCAGGTAGCTGCTGGCTGGAGCTGGGAGGGATGGGATCTACCCAGGATGGAGTGAATCAGCCCTACAGTGCCCCTCTCAGCCACTCCTGACCGCTTTCCCCACAGCTCAGCCCCCAGAGAACTGACTGCCTGCGGCAGAGAGGAGAAATACCCCAGCCAAGCACGGACGAGTGGCTGCTGCCTGTGGGCAGAGGGAGTGGAACGGGCTGGCCAAGGCAGTGGGGCACAGCCCTGGGTGCCCCCTCCCACACAGAGCAGCACCCCAGACCCCCCTCACCGGCTTGGAGGCCCCTTCTGCCGCCCCCTCGCTCCTCGTGGCCTCCTTGGGGCTGCGGCTTTTCCCGGGGCCTGGCTGCCGGCTCCTGTCCTTGCCGCTCGTCTCGACCTCCCCGATGTCCACCCCGCTGTCCTCGCTGAGGGTCTGCCCGCTGTCCGACAGCTGGGAGAGCGTGGAGGCTGGGGAGAGACGCGGCATTAGTGGGCGGGCAGTGCCAGGGCCGGGCCGGCCGAGCGCCCACGGCCACGGGGCGAGGGCAGCTGCCACTCCCAGGGCTGGGCAGCCTCCCTGGGATTCACACCGGGGCTGCAGAACAAGGTTCCCAAGCACAGCCCTGCAGAACCATGGAATTGCTCAGTTGGGAAAAGCCCTCTCAGATCATTGAGTCCAACCACAAAAGCAGCACTGCCAAGGCCACTTCAAAGCCATGTCCCCAAGTGCCACATCTACATGGCTTTTAGATTCTTTCAGGGATAGGATCTCCACCACTGCCCTGGGCGGCCTCTCCCAGTGCCTGACCACTCTTTCAGTGAAGGGATTTCCCCATTATGCAACGTGAAGCTCCCCTGGCACAGCCTGAGGCCATCTCCTCTTATCCTGTCCCTGTTTACTGGGAGAAGAGATTGATCCCAACCTCACTGCAGCCCCCTGTCAGAAGAGCAGAGCTGTGCACAGGCAGCATCCAGAGACAAGTGGCCTCAAACTCTGGTCTGGAATCCAACTCAGATCCCAAACTGGGATGGAAGGAGAGAGTGATGAATTCAGGGACCCTGCTGGAGGCACGTTTATGCAGCCCATGCTCCACAACAGGGTCTGGGAGGAGACAGGGACCAAGCCAAGTGAAGAGCTGCTGCCATGTAGGAGCTTTCTGTCCTTCGAGGATGAAGACCAAGTGCAGATGGAGGCTGGAAATGTCAGGAGCAGCGGCGGCGCTGCATTAATGCACCCGCGGCGCTGCATTTAATGCACGCGCCTCGCCCTGCGGGCAACGGGCGGGCTGCAGTGACGGCGCTGTGCCACACGAGGGCGACATTGCCACTCGTGTCGCTGCCGCAGCGCGGGGGGGCGGGAGCGCTCCGGGACCCCGGGACTGCCCTGGATCCCCCTTCCCTCTCCATCCCTGAGAGCCCCTGGATCCCCCTTCCCTCTCCATCCCCGAGGGCCCCTGGATCCCCCTTCCCTCTCCATGTCCGAGAGATCTCCTGGATCCCCCTTCCCTCTCCTTCTCCAGGAACCCCCCTGGATCCCCCTTTCCTCTCCATCTCCGAAAGCTCCTGGGACCCCCTGGGACCCCTCCTCCCTCTCTGTCTCCAAGGGACCCATGGGGCTCCACACACTGTTCTCTCACCTCCACTTCTTTTTCCTGGGATAAATGCGACTCCAGAGCTGAGTGTGGGCACAATTAGATTTTTTTTTTCTCCCTCAAAATGTACAGTTAATGGGAAAAGACCACAATTATTACTGGTCCCTGAGGTCACAGAATGGGTTGGAAGGGATCTTAAAGATCATTTCATCTCACCCCTGCCATGGGTGGGGACACCTCCCACTAGACTGAGCCCAGTCCAGCCTGTCTTGGGCACTGCCAGGGATCCAGGGGCAGCCACAGCTGCCCTGGGCACCCTGTGCCAGGACCTGCCCACCCTCACAGGGAACAATTCCTAATTCCCAGTATCCCATCCATCCCTGCCCTCTGGCAGTGGGAGTGTCCTGTCCCTGTGTCCTGTCCCTCCATGCCTTGTCCCCAGTCCCTCTCCAGCTCTCCTGGAGCCCCTTCAGGCCCTGCCAGGGGCTCTGAGCTCTCCCTGGAGCCTTCTCCTCTCCAGGTGAGCACCCCCAGAACCCTCACCCTCCACAGGAGAGATGCTCCAACCTTTGGATCATGAGATCCATCACAAGACCTGAAGCCTTGCGATGTGTGTCCTGTCCCATTTATCTCCCTCCCAACACCCCAGGGATGGATTTCTCCAGGTGCTAAGGTGACACCCACCTCTGGCCTGGGGCAGGGGCCTCACTTCGTTGACGTCGGGCTCGCTGTTGGGCTGGTGCACCTCCACCATGATGAAATGCTGGTTGGCCGCGGCCTGGGGGCTGCCCTTGTCCGGGGGAGGGGGCGCGGGGTGTGGGGGCGGAGGAGGAGGGGACGGGGCCGGGGGGCTCTGGAGCCCCTCTGGGGACGGGCTCTTCAGCCTGGTGGGGGACTGGACCCGGGGGAAGGGCCCGATGGGGTGCTGGCTGAGCAGGGAGAGCGGGGCCTCCGCCGGCCGGCGGGAGCCGCGCGGGGACGGGGAGATGGTGGCGTAGATGGCGCTGGGGGCGGAATCCTCGGTGGACGTGGAGGCCGTGGAGGTCATGCTGACCGTGTCCTTCTCGGGGGCATGCGGAGGGGGAGAGGGGTTTCGGGGGGCCACGAAGAACAGGCCAGACTGGGAGGACTCGGAGGAAGGGCGCTTGGGCTTGTCCTTCCCCTGGAGCCGGGGCTGGGCAGAGGAGGGGTCCAGGGTCTGGGGGGCTGATGGAGGAGGAGGAGGCTTGAAGTTGGGTGGTTCCTCTGGGAAGGAGGAGAGATCATCCTGCCAGAGCAAGAACAGTTTGTAGGACACCATGCCCAGGCTCAGAGTCAGTGCATGTTCATCTCCTCACAGTGACCATGGCTGAAGGAGCTGGATGTTATAGAAACACCTTCCTGGCCTGACAGTGTTACACAAACACCTTCTTGACCCTCTGACAGTGTTACACAAACATCTTCCTGACCTGGTAGTGTTACACCAACATCTTCCTGGCCTGACAGTGTTACACAAACACCTTCCTGGCCTGACAGTGTTACACAAACACCTTCCTGACCTGACAGTGTTACACCAACACCTTCCTGACCTGACAGTGTTACACAAACACCTTTCTGACCCTCTGACAATGAGAATACCACTCACAGATGAGCACAGCTGCAGAACAGCTGATGGGCCAAGAAATGTTTATAATATATTGTAATTAGGAAATAGTTGGCTTCTGATTGTGATGGTGTGAATTATAACATCTGTATTGTCTCACCTTTCATGAGACTGAAAATAGAGTAAAAGCTTTTAAAATGGCTCTCAGTTACCACGTCTGGGTCAGAAAGGAGCCTAACCCAACACAGAACAACCCCTGCCAAGCTTTGCTTTGGTTCCACAAGGCTGCTCCTATCCAGCCAGCCAGATCCTCTCCTGACCCACCTGAGGAGCTGTGCCCAGTCACTGCCCTGCAGGTGGGTATGGCCCAGCTGCTGCAGCTGGGGCACAACCCAGCACCCCCAGTTTGCCTCCTGCTCCCCCCCAGCTCCGTGCAGGCCTTACCAGGGACACATCTGGCAGGGTGTTGATGCTGCTCTGGTGGCAGTCCCCAGCTCCCTCCAGCTCTGACGTGTTCTGAGAGGGCACAGAAGGAACAGAGAAGCATGGCACAGCAGCACGAGCAACCAGCACAGTGCCAGGGGACGGGCAAGGGATGCTCCAAACCCCTCCCCATGCAGGGCCAGCCTTATCCAGGGGTTTTTACCTCCTTGGGGTGCCTTTGTTGGCTCTCCCAAGCTAAGGGATGTGCTCAGAGCATGCTGTGGACCTGACATGCTGGGGTTTCCTCTAGGCCCAAATCCTGCTGAATTTGGAAGGAGGGAAGGGACCAGCCCTGAGGGCTTCAGTTGTTTTTTTCCCCCAGAGGAAGGACAATAGAAATTTAAAACTCTCCTTCCATGCAACCCAGAGCAGTGGCTCTCAGATGCAAAAAGAAGCTGGCTTTATGTCACCAGGAAATGCCACACCACGGTTTTGAGGAGATCACAGCTCCAGGAATGCAGAAGGGATTTCCTGTGGGAATCACTGGCTTTATGAGCCCAAAACTGTCACCAGGAAATGCCACACCACGGTTTTGAGGAGATCACAGCTCCAGGAATGCAGAAGGGATTTCCTGTGGGAATCTGTCAGTAGGGATGGCCCAGGGAGAGGCCATGGATGCAGCCAGGCAGAGCAAACCTGGTGACATCAGGGGTGGGGCACAGCAGAGCTGGGGTGCAGCTCTGCCCTGGGAGCTGTGCCCAGCCCTGCTGAGGGAATCCTGTGCCAGGGGGGAACCATCCCCAGCTCCCCTGGTGGCAAACCCAGCCTCAGCCTCCTCTCCCTCAGTGTGTGCTGCTCTGGAGGGGGCTGCTGCTGCTCAGGGAGGCTGAGCTCGGCTCCTGTCACGCTGGCAGGGCTGTTTGGATGGGGCAGGGCACAGTTTGTGTTTAAGTGCCTGCTATTTATTACAGGGTAAACAGCTGATTAGCTGAAACACTGGTGCATCTTCATCTCCCCCAGCTGCTGGAGGCTGCTGCTGTGCCTGGGAGATGTTCATGTCCCAAAATAGACACGGGAGACAATTAAGACCATTAGAGGAGCAGCAAAAACATTGATGTAAAGTGCATTTATCCCTGTGGCTTCTGAAGGAGCCCTGGGGAGGGAGAATACAAAGAAACAGCTTGTTCAGGGACTGACAGGTAAAGGCCTGGCTTGGGAAACCTTCCTGTGGCACAGGGTGGTTCCATCCTCCATTGTTCCAACATAAGGACAGGGGGCTTTTAAAAGAGAATCACAGAAGGATTTGGGTTGGAAAGGACTTTAAAGATCATCCAGTGCCACCCCTGCCATGGCAGGGACACCTCCCACTGTCCCAGGCTGCTCCAAGCCCTGTCCAGCCTGGCCTTGGGCACTGCCAGGGATTCAGGGGCAGCCACAGCTGCTCTGGGGAATTTGGCAGCAGCCAAACTGTCCCAGCTGTGTCACTGCTAAAATGGGAATAATCTGCCTGATGCCCCCTAAAACCTGCCAGGGCCATTTCCCCCAGCCCTGTGCCCATCACAGGCCACGTCCCAGCTCTGGCCTCGCAGCAAGGACCAGCCTGTCCTGAGCTGTGGCTCCTCTGCAGATGCTGGCTGGGCACAGCAGCTGTCCCTGTGCCCCCCAGTGCCACTGCCAGCTCTGTTCCCCCCAGCCAGGGACACTGCTGCTCCTCCTCAGGGCACCTCTGGCTGCAGGATATTTGCTTTTCCTCACTCCTTCAGGGGGCAAAAGCAATTAAACAGTGATTGCTCTGGGCCATAAACCATGATGACTTTCAAGCACATTTGCTTTCAGGAATTGGCTATTTCGAGGCTCTGCCTTCCTGGATTTCCATTGAAAGACTCACAGAAGCCACTGCCCTGAAAAATGAGTACTGAGAAGGCTGCTCCCTCCTGCTCCTCTGCCCCATCTATTTTCCAGTTCTTCATGGGAACTGGGGCCAGGTGAGGCCCTTCCAGCCCCTCCTCAGAGCAGCTGGGAAATGTTTGTCCTTGTCCTAAAAAGAGTCCCCAGCAGGAGTGATGGAGCTGCAGAGCATGTCTCAGACAGGCAGTCTTCATTTGCAGATTAAAGGGTGGAGAAACTGTCACTTCCCCAGGGAACACAGCCCAACCTTTAATTAACCTCTCAGCTCCAAATCAGTCCCCTAATTTCCAGTTACTGCTAACAAGAGAGCTTTGCTGAGCCACTCCGCCTGAGTGCTGCAGGGTGTCAGTTTTGAGCAACTGCCCCAGCCTGGGGATAAGCCCAGCTTCCCTCCCCTTCCATCTCCCACTCTGGAATGCAGCCACAGGGATGGAGGAGGCACAAGCCTCTGCTCCAGATTTTAGGGGTCTAAGCATGCATAATAACCTCCACACAGTGGTTTCACTCTGTCTTTATCCTCATCCTCTGAGAGGAGCATTCCCAGCACGTGGGAATGCTCCATGTGGGATATCCCAGGGAGCTGGAGCCGGTTCACCTCTGGAGCCAGCTGGAGCAAGGCAGCACCTCTGGAACCACCACCTGCCTCCAGCCCTGGGAGGAGAAGGCACCTCTGGCTGGCAGCAGATTTGCTAGGAGGTGGTGGAGAGGAAAACCAAACTCCAGGGATAAAAATTCCTTCATCCCAACACTGAGGGTTGGGCAGGAGGTAGGGACAAAGGGAATGCTAGAACAGTCAGGGATTCCCACTGCTCTGGTCAGACATACTGCACCTGATTATTGCAGTCTGTGGCTGATCTCTGCCCTGCAGGACTCATCTGGAGGCCCAGCATTCCCAGGAGGTGCTGATGACACTCAGACAGTGGCTGGCACTGTCAAACATTGGCTCATTGCCAAGCATCCTTCAAGCATTCCTTGATGGAATCACTCATCCCATGGCAGGGCCTGCCCAGCCCCACCCTGTTTGGTTTTGGTGGAAGTTTGTGGCTACAGCTCTCCTCACAGAGAGCAGAAGGCACAAGTTCTCCAAGGATTTTTCCTGGGGAAAGCAGTGAGAAGCTCAGAGAAGAAGAGAAAACAATTCTTATCTCTACTTTTTGTGCCCGTTTTTTGGCACATGTGGAATGTGTTATGGAGATTGTTTACCCAAAGTGATTTGTTAGTTGGATTCTGTTGAGGGTTGTTTGGATTCCTTGGCCAGTTGGGTCAAAGCTGTGTCCTGGCTGTCTCAGACCTCATGGGTTTTCTTTAGTATGGTATCTCTTTAGTACGTAATTTATTATAGTATTGGTGTAATATAGTATAGCTTAATAAAGAATAAAGAAGATTTCAGCCTTCAGAAATCATGGAGTCAGAGCACATTATTCCCTACACTGGGGTCGCCCTGCAATGACACAAGTTCACTCACCAAGCCATGGGACAGGTGGCCTGCTCTGGTGTCACTGAGTTTGGTCACAAAGCCAGAAAGTCTGTGTCCCACGGTCTGGGGTGCCTGGGACAAACTGGGAATGCTGCAGCATCCTCTGCTGGGTAAGAGTCATTCCCACAGGGATGCAGCTCTTGGGGCGGGTTCACAGCTGCTGGTCCCACCCTTGGCTCTCTGGGCTGTCCTGACCCTGTGATTTCCTCCTGGCCAGGAGCAGGGAATGATCCCACACCCTGGAGCCTGCAGTTCCCTCAGCCTGCTCCCAGCCAGCGGCTCTGGGGTGACACAGGGCTTCCTGGGGCTCCCCCACAGCTCTGCCCAGCCCCTCCAGAGCCTGGGTGAGCATTTCTCACACACAGTGCTGACCCCCTGTGCACTGACCCCCTGAACTGCAGCATGGGGCTCTGCACACCCTAGGACCATGAGGAAAATTCTCCCCTATCCTAAGGATGTGTGCTGGGATGTGAGCAGCCTGTGAGAGAGCTGGGGCTGCTCAGCCTGGACAGAGGAGTCTCTGTAGAAACCTTGTTGTGCCATTTCACTGCTTGGAGAGGGCTGTACAAAAGATGGGGACAGATTTTTTAACAGGGCTTGTTGTGATAACACAAAGGGGAATGGTTTTAAACTAAGAGAGGGTCAGTTTAGATCAGATAGAAGGAAGATGTGTTTTAGAACAAGGGTGGGCAGGCCCTGGCACAGGTGCCCAGAGAAGCTGTAGCTGCCCTGGATCCCTGGGAACATCCAAGGCCAGCTTGGACAGGGCTCTGAGCACCTTGGTCTAGCTGAAGATGTCCCTGCTCACTACAGGGCAGTTGAATGAGATGGGCTTAAACGTCCCTTCAACCCAAACCGTTCCATGATTTTCTGGTGTTTAGCCAGGGTGCCCACACAGCACAGCAGCAGGCAGGCAGGGAGGGCAGTGTGGGATCTGCCATGCTCAGCTCTGCTGCTCCCTCCAAAACCCCATCCCTGAGGTGTCTGTGGCACTCAGGTGCCAGCTGGGTCTGGCTCAAGCTGAGCCGTGTGTGCACTGCAGCACCAAGGACTGGGGGAAGGAGCTGCTCTGTGCAGAGGCACTGAGGAGCAGCAGAGGGACACGAGGTGGCCATGCAGCAGCAGCCCGTCCCTCCCCTGCCACCCCCCTGCCCCAGCCACTGCAGCCCTACCTCCATCAGGTCTATGAGCCACAGGAGCCGCTCCTGGGATGTGCCAGGGGAGAGCAGAGGGAAACAAGCACAAAAGGGAAAAGGTGCCATCAGGGAGGGTGCAGAACAAAGCAGCGAGCTGAACAAACCCCGCAGGGCACTGCCCCTGTCCCCAAACCCAGCCCCAGAACCCACCCCCAGCTGCAGCCAGGGAGGGCTGGAGGGAGCCCCTCCTGCCGGGGTGCTGGGAGGGAACAGCAGCAGGGGCTGAGGGATCAGTCTGGGAGCCCTGCCCACATCTCTCCTGCTATCCAGGCACCCATCCACCACCAGCTGGTGCTCTTTGCTTGGCAGCTGTTCCAGCAAATGGGCACAACCATGGCAGTGGCAGCATTCCCATCACCCTGGATGGGATCATCTCCATTCCATGGAGCAGGGCGTGCTCTCCCATCCATGGGGACAGGTGCCACATGGCCAGGGAGGCCCTGCAGGGCACAAAGGACACGTGCTCTTGAAGGAAGCTCTGCCCACTCCCTTCCCTGTGCCACAGCAGCACCCTGGTGTCCCTCCCAAAGCTCTGGGCTCGTGTGCCAGGTGGGGCTGGGCCACTGGTCACACACTGGCCCAGGCAGACACGTTTGGCACATGTTGTGGAGCACCAGGCACACCTGGAGCACGTGGCACAGCCCCAGGCATGGGCACAGCACAAGAGCAGGGTGTTACACTCAGCACACAATCCTGGCAAACCTGTGCCAGCCCTCAGAAAAATTTTCCCAGCAGCTCCTTGGAGAGCAGAGCAAAACTCACTTTGTTTATGCAGATCCAGAAAGGCTCTCACTGAAATCCTCCTGACCTGAGCAGGTGGCTTTCCTGTGGGCACTTGTGGATTTAACAGGACAAAAGCACAACTCTGATGCTCTGACTCTCTCTGAGGTCTCTCACAGGCAGGCAGAGCCGCAGGAAAGCCCCCTCCCCTCTCCCCCACGGGCTGTGCTGGGTGGACCCTCCCCAGCCCCATCCCACCACCGTGGGCTGCTTTCCTCGCTGAGCACAGAGCCCATTGTTTCTCCTTCCTTCCATGAAGGGTTTAATTTCCAAGGTTACTAATGCATTTATGATGAAAGGCATTTTATGGTGAGGAAATTAATTTGGGGGCTGTGTGCGTGCACAGTCTGAGGTGATTACAGTAACTTAATTAGACGGTGCGTGCGACAGGGGCCTGGCAGAGACGTGGGAGTGCTGCTGCTGCGTGCTGAGAGTGGGTGGCAATGGGATGCAGCTGCCTGGCCACTGTGGCTCCCACTGGGATGGGGGGCAGGCAGTCAGCACCCTTAGGGGGTGATTTAGGAGCTGGTGAACAGCAGCAGGCATGGCATGGCAGTGGGCAGGGCTGGGATTTCTGTGGGGATGCAGCTCCAGTGGATTTCTGGGAGCAAGGCAGGCTCTGTGCCTCACTGGGATTAGGGTGATGCCTCAGGTTTTAGCTTTTCTATTTTTCAGATTCTGCAGGCAGCCCTCAAGCAGGGGACAGAAGCACCTCAATGTCAGGGCACAGAGACACCCAGCACCTCATGGCATCACCTACAAATCACCCAGATTGCACAGAAAAAATAACAGCTCTGAGAACCCATGGGGGAAGCTGTTCAGGGCTTGCTGTGGGCTGAAATGGCTTTACAGCACTCAGGGAGAGCAGCTGGCTGTAGGATTGCCAGGAGGAGGTGCTGAAAGGAAGGGGATCGGGCAGGAGGGACCTACCCGTGCCGAGCTGACGGTGGTGGCAGTGAAGTGGCTGCTGGAGGACGAGACGGTGTCGCTGTAGGACATCATGGAGTAGGAGTCGGCGCTGGGCCCCGCGGGCTGCCGGGCCTTCATGGACTCGATCTCCCTCTTCAGCACCAGGTTGTCGAAGCGGTCCAGGTCTTGTGGGGAGATCACCCCCCTCACCTCGGAGAGCAGCGAGAACTGGCCAGGCACACAGAGCCAGAGCCAGGTTGGAGCACAGTCATGTTCCTGGGAAGCTGGAGGTCTCCCTCCCCCACAGTCAGCAGTGGCAATGGCAGGTGATGGAGGAGGTTTGATCCTAAATGTTACCACAAGCTCCTCTGCCACTGAACACCAGCCTCCATCCCCCAGAATGGCCCTGGCACAGGGTGCCCAGAGCAGCTGTGGCTGCTGTGGATCCCTGGCAGTGCCCAAGGCCAGGCTGGACAGGGCTGGGAGCAGCCTGGGACAGTGGGAGGGGTCCCTGCCATGGCAGGTGTGGAACAAAGTGATTTTTGAGGTCACTTCCAACCCAAACCAGGGTGGAATTCTGGAACTGGGACCACAGGAGACAGCCCAGCTCCCCATCATGTGGAAAAGGCACGTTTGCTCCACTGCCAGCTTGAAACAGAGCCTAGTGAAGAAAGAGCCACTGGCAACCAAAGGAGCTCCAGGGGGAGACAAATTTGGCTGCAGATGAAAGGCTTTTTCCCTTGGAGAGGGATTTCTGGGGGGAGGTCCTTAGTGTTTCCTCCCAGGCAGAGCTGGCACAGGGATATGGAACCAGACAAGACCTTGACTATCCCAGAGACAGGGAGAGTTGTGGCTGGGGAACATGTTTTGCCAGCAAAGAGTACAAAGCTGTTATCAGTGAGAGCCACCTGTGAAACCTCCCTGTTTAATTTCCATTTAAAAGCAATGTGCTTTGCAAGGAGGTGTGGAGGAGATGCTGGCACAGAGCTGCAGGCACAGCACGGGGTGAGTCCCTGTGCCTGGTGAGCTGGGCAGGGCTGGCTCAGCTCTGCCTCGGGCTGGAACAGACCCCTGCAGCTCCCAGGGCCCACAGACAGCCACCATGAGGCCAGTCATGGTCACTTCTGCAGGGTGGAGGGTCCCCACTGCCCTTGTCCATGGGTGATCATTGCCCCTTGCCCATTAAGAGGGCACCAGATATGGCACAGGAGAGGGGACACCACTGTGTCACTGTAGAACACAGCTGCCAACACAGCATGGGGAGGAGAAAGGCCATTAAAATCCCAAACCAGCATCCCTGCTGTAACCAGGAGCATGGGCCTTCCTTCCCATGGTAAATAAACCACAATTGCAGTGATAATTTCACAAGGCATCAGGAATGTCTTACCCTGGCTGCCACGTCCATAGCATGGTCACCCACTGCCCTGCGAGGAGGGAGAAGATCAGTTAGCACTGAGTGCCTGTCACTTGTCACCCAGTGCAGCACATGGCACCTTCTCTCCTCTCTGGAGAGCCAAAAGCTTCAGGCAGGGGAGAAGGGGAAGGGACTGTGGATGTGACAAGTCGGTCAGAGACTGAAACAGATAACTTTCCCTGGAATCATTCTGGGAGAAGCTGTGAGAACCTCAGAGAAAAGAATTAAAACAATTCTTAAGCCCCTGCAGCTGGAGTTTGTGAACATGTGGAATGTGTTCTGTGTGATGTTTATGGAAAGATGATGTTGGTCTTAATTAACCAATTGGGTGACAGGTGTTATTAGAACCAATCAGGTTCGGGGTGAATGATGTTGCTTATAAAAATATTAAGTTTTTAATAAATGAGCTTTTATGGCTTCTGAAAATGCATGGGGAGTTGTGTCACATTCATTCCTGTTCCTGACTCAATGGTGACATCGGACAGCACAACATTGTCCACACCTGCTCCACCCTACAGGCCAGAGACGCTTCCCTGACACAGGAGCCAGACCCCAGAACGGGGAGCTCCATGGACAGGGTGGGGGTCCCCATCCTCCCAGGGGCTCTGAGCTGACAGACCCCCCGAAAAGGCCCTGTCTTAGGTTGGAAATGGGGGTGTGTGTTCTATCCCCATCTGTCAGAGCTGGGGCAGTTCTCCTCTGTTCATGGGGCAATTTTTTCTTTCTCTCTCCCACAGCCAATCCTCCCTCCAGGAGATCTCTGCTGTCCATGGCCACTGAGTGTCCCTGCATGGCTGATCAAATTCCAGCATCCCATGGGGAGATGCTCCGCCCAGGGCAGGAGCCAAGCATTCCTACCTGGATACAATCTGAGCCTGGAACAGCACAGCAGCCTCTGCCCACTGCATTCCCAGAGGAGCAGCTTTCTCCTGCCCTGCACTGCCAGAGGAAGAGCAGGCCCATGTTCAAACCCAGACAGCCCCAGGCCCGTACCCCGCTGAGCTGAGCAGGGTCTCCCCGAGCTGGGAGCTGCTGATCCAGCGGGTCTCGTCCACGGTGGTGCGGGCGTGGGGCAGGCGCCCGATGTCCTTCACCGTCATCATCAGGTGACGCGAGGACTTGAGCAGCTTCACGGCCTCGTCGTGGGGGATGCTCAGGAAGCTCCGGCCGTTCACCTCCAGGATCTGGTCTCCCACCTGTGGAATGAGGATGGACTGAGCCTGGCATGTCCTTGGAGCTCTCCTGTTGGGAATTACACTTTCCTGTCCCAGCAGGGAGGCGCTGCCCAGTCTAAGCCAGCTCCAAATTGGGACGGGGATGGAGTGACCAGGGACAATGCTGCTGGATGGAGATCATCCCTCATGCTGGCAGCCAGTGAGGACCAGTCCGTGAAGCCTGGAGGGGCCTGTTCAGGACCCCAGCTCAGACTGATCTGCCTAGTCTCCTCCACCAACCCCAAAGAACATCCAGGCCTTCAGCCCAGTCCCTGCTGCTGCTGGGCTGCAAACTGCAGCATCTGGGACAGCTGCATTCCATCTCTCCTCTCCTATTTCCTCCCCTAAGAGATTTCATTCTGTGGGCAAGGCCTTTGCTGGAACCAGGTGTTACTGTCATATTTTCTGTAAAAATCTTTTGCTAGGATTTCTGTCCTGGGAAGCTGAGAAACCTCAGAGGAAAAAAAAACCAAAAAAAACCAAAAAAACCCCCAATATTATTTCATTTGCTTCTCCCGTGTTTTGCTGCTTTAGAATGTAATAAGTGATTGTTTCATTGGTTGCACGTGAATTGTTTTTACTTATTAGCCAATCACAGCTAAGCTGTGTCAAGGCTCTGGAAAGAGTCAAGTTTTTCTTTAGTATCTTTTAGCCTTCTGTCTGTATCCTTTCTGTATTCTTTACTATAGTTTTAGCACAGCATAGCATAACATAACATAATATAACATAATCCTTCTAAAAACTCAGAGTCAAATTCATCATTTCCTTCCTTTGTCTAGGAACCCCACAAATACAAGAACCAGGAGCTTCCCTGACAGCCTGGCCTTGTTTGAGACACAGCACCCATCTGGTGTTTCACCCTTCATCCCAGGTCCTCTTCCTCTGTGCTCCCAGGGCATCCAGGGCTGCTCCTCCTCACTCCCGCATCACAATTCACCCTGCTCCTGATAAACCACATTTTTGAAACTGCCCTTTCCTACATTTCCTTAACCACAGCTCTCAGCTCAGCTCTACCAAAACACAGCATGGATTTTCTTCTCTGCCTGGCCAGCAAGGAGACACAGGGAGAGAAAAGTTCCAGAGAAGTGAAACAAATGATCAGTGGCAGATGAAGGTGCCTGTGAAAGGACAGATGGAAGAGATTAGACCAGTTAAATTTAGAGAGGAGATCATGTGGGGGGCTGGATGGAGCTATACAAAATAAGGCTGGCAATAATGAGAAGCCAGAGAAGGGCTCCTGTTTGTCCTTCCCTCTGCTCAAAGGACAGAGGAGGCTCAGGGAGGCTGGGAGGATGCTGGGAGTGGGGCTGAGGGGAAAAAGGACCTGCAGCAAGAGCATCATGGAGTCATTTGGGCTGGAAAAGGCCTTTAGGATCATTGACTCCAGATGCTGCAGAGCTCAGCTCCATGTTCAGCTCCATCCAGGGACCCTGGGTGGATTTGCCTCATTCTTCACCATAAAATTCAATGGTTTGTGTTGGAAGTGACCTAAAAAATCCCAGAAGTGCGAAGGGAGGGATCCCAGGGGAAGGCAAATGACACAAATGACCCCAACCATGGGGCTCCACAAATATCTCAGGTTCCCTTTGAGCTCTGTCAGCTTTAAATCCACTGTCAGAAAATTGCTGGCTACCTGTGTATTCTTCGCTTCTTTGCTGCCAGGGTCAGGATTTAATCACAAGATGATGTTTCTTGTTCAGACTCAGATGTTTATTAGTTCTTATCTATGACACAGTCTCACAAACCCTCAGTTCTACAGCATTTCTTGCTAACAAACTAAAAAAATGGAGCCCCATCTCTCTCTCTACAAGGCCTTTTAAGGATAAAATGTCCAATTAAGAAATGACACCTAAATTATTTTTACTTTTAACCCAATAACCAACCACCCATGCCCGCAATGTGGACTTTTCTATCCAATTAAACAAAACCACCCAAACCCATGGAGAAGAAGGGGAAGGAGATTAATGTGAAAAAGAAGGTGAAGAAGCAGGACCAGCCTCTGCCCTAAAACCTCCATCTTGCTTTATCTATATCACTATATTCTAAATCCTTAAACTCTAAGTTTCTCACCCTGTGGTATTAGACACTTCTATTCAAACTCCACACCCACAATCCCAGTTCTGTCATTCCATTTTGGAAGCTTCCCCACAGCCTCAGTGTTCTCCTGGGGGTCAGTGCCTGTCAGCACAAAGTCTGAAATTCTCAGCAGCCAGGGTTCCTACAGCTACCAAGGGAAGAGGGGAGGGGAATTAAGCCAGGGCCTGAAGTGCCAAGAGAAATACCCACTCAGGTGCACAAATGTCATCTCCCAGGCCTTTCTGATCCATCAGGAGTCCCCTGGAGTGCATTTTGCTGCACAAACAAGGAGCACTGAGTTCACTGCAGCACCAAAACAATAAAAATCCAAATTTGATTAGGCAGTTTTATTGCAATTATGAATCTTTAATGGTTTTCCATACCAGGGATTAAATTTTCATGATTTTTTTGGTTCAGGACAGTTACACAGGTTTAATAATCTTTAATTTCTCCTTTTAAGGGTGAACCAAGAGGAGCCTGGCATGCTCTTATAACATCAGGGAGACCAGAGGGGCCCTGAATTTTATGCTAATTAACATAGATAATAATTATATTTTCCCCCCAGTGTCAAGGACAAGTGGAAAAGTAACAAAAAAACTGCAGTGATGCAAAAGAACCATCGACTAAAACAAAAGCTGACCCTGAGAAATGATTTGCTGTATTCACAGCTCCAAACAGGCACAGAATAAAAGAAGTAATAATAAGACACACACACACACACAAAAAAAGTTATAATACAACACAGGAAAATGATTGCCCTGGATATTTCAGGAACTACTTTTCAGTTGTGCTCAGCTAATGGTGGGTGGATACCCAGGATGTGCTGAATGCTTGAACACCTCTGAAAATGTGGATTACTCTAATTTCCTAGGGAAAATTGTAGCCTGAAATGCAGGGGCTGAACACAACACGCAAAAAGTGACAGACCATGAGAAAAAGAGAGTTTAGAAATTACACCTCAATGACAGCCCTGGCTCCTTCTCCTTCTGGAGACAGTGGGGAAGGGGAGGTGCAGTCAAGGGAAACGTAATGGGCTTCAGACAAGGGTTCTGAGCAGCAGAAATAATCAGAATCTGCTCTGAAAAATTCTCTTAAAAAGAAACAGAATTTGCTCTGAAAAATTAACTTAAAAGTAATCAGAATTTGCTCTGGGAGAAACCCAATCACACAGACAGAAAAATAGGCAAGAGATTTTAAATATGAGTTAAGGTTAAAAGACACCAAACTGAGCTGGGAATAACAGGGCCAAGGGGTTGATGCCAGATGGGTTGGCACTGGCACCAGTCCTGTTTAATGCCACTACAGTGCCAGCAGAGAGGCTAAATGACACTGGAGATAGCAATAAAGTACAAGGAGCCTCTCTCCAGCACAAATAATTACCAAATGCCCTTAAGAAATTAAAGATATGGGCAGGAAATGTATAGATCAATTTGGAATTGACTGAATGAAGGCTCGCAGTAAATAAGGATGTGCTCAGCTTCTCCAGGAGGGAAATGGGGCAGGGTAGGTGAAACAGATGATCCATGTGGGAAGGGTCCAGGACAGACCTGGGAGCAGGACTGTGGCATTCACATCCTCTGAAAAATCCCTTTGCCCGGGATTTTTCTCCTGGGAAGCTGAGAGGCCTCAGAGAAAAGGAAAACAATTCTTATCTTGTTTGCTTCTCCTGTGTTGTGCTCATGTGGAATGTGTTTGCAGATTGTTTACCCACAGCTGATTGTTTCATTGGGTTCTGCTGTGAGTTGTTTTCACTCTTTGGCCAATCAGGGCCAAGCTGTGTCAGCACTGGAGAGAGTCAGGAGTTTTCATTATTATCTTTTTAGCCTTCTGCAAGTATCCTTTCTGTATTCTTTAGTATAGTTCAGTCTAGGATTCTTTAATATAATACAGTATCATAAAATAATAAATTAGCCTTCTGAGAACATGGAGTCAGATTCATCATTCCTGCCTTTGTTGGGGCATTCCCAGCAAATGCAATACAGGACAGGGAATGAGGGGGCCATGGCTGTCTGAAAATGGCTCCTTTCCCCAAACACTGCAGCCCAAAGAGGGGAGATGCAAGCCCAGGGAGGGAAGGGCTCTCTGGGGGTGGCAGTGCTTGTGGCACTCATGGGGGGAGGTTTTGGCGGCCTCCCAGGAGAGAAGATTTCTGTCTCCATCAAGGTGACACCACTGCAAGGACCAGGAGAAATGTCACATCTTGGGTACCAAAACCACAACCTCCTGAGTGACTTTGTCACTTAGCAGCTCATTCCCAAACTCTGAGGGAGCCCCAAAGTTTTTACTTCATCTTCTTTTTCCAGGGTATTTATCTGTGTCCAGACCTCAAAGCTCACTGCAGGTTTCCAGGGGTGGCTTTGGGATGAGGGGCTCGTGGGAGTTCAGGGTATTTATCTAAGCTCACTGCAGCTTTCCAGGGGTGGCTTTGGGATGAGGGGCTCGAGGGAGTTTGCAGATGACACCAAATGTGTCCAGGGAAGGGAAGGGAGCTGGGGAAGAGGCTGGAGACCTCGAGAGGCTCCGTGAGCCCGGAAGGGGCTCAGCGTGGAGAAAAGGAGGCTCAGGGGGGACCTTGTGGCTCTGCACAGCTCCTGACAGGAGGGGACAGCCGGGGGTCGGGCTGTGCTCCCAGGGAACAGGGACAGGAGGAGAGGGAATGGCTCAGGCTGGGCCAGGGCAGGCTCAGGGTGGATGTTTAAGAAAAAAATCTTCACCAAAAGGGTGAAGGGACTCCAAAGTCCCCATCACTTGGAGGATTTAAAAGCCATATGGATGTGGCACCTGGGGACACGGGGCAGTGGTGGCCTTGCAGTGCTGGAGGAATGGTTGGACACAATGATCTTGGAGATCTTCTTCAGCCTAAATTATTCTTTGTTCTCTGACAGCCAGTGCTGAGGTAAAATCAT